GCTTATCTTGTACGACTTAAATTTGTAACTCCTTCTGTAAGGCCGTTTGGCCATGAGCGTACGCTCGACTCTAGTGTAAGAGTGATCTGGATTATTATTAATGTGATTATTCTATTATATAGTTTATTGCTATATTTTTGAGATGTTACAGCAGATAATATAATGGCTATTAACAAAGTTAAATGATAAAAACTTAATTTCAATTCAAAACTGAAAAATATTTCACTGCGTATGAAACTAAACAAATTTAATAAACTCATTAAAAAACACTCAAATTTATATTTAAAAATTAATTAACAACAACAAATAATATGGTAGAATTATTTATTTTGAGTCTTGAGTGTTGTATGTAAGATGGAGGATTTCTTTAATTTATTCATCAGTAAATCTTATTTATGAGTTATTTTAATTTTTGTTATCTATGTATGATGATTTAGGTTACTACAACAATTCTATATGATACTTGCTTATAAAAACAAAAAGAATAAAAAAGTGAGATAGAAAAAATAGTTAAACAACCTGCTTTTGATGGATTTCGACCTGTGCGACAGCGTCTTGGGTATGGGTATTGCTTGGAGCCACCAAGAACAGGCCTTTTGAGGTCAATGTTATTGTCAGGGTCTCCAAGATCATTGTAAACATCATAGTCGTAAATTCTATCACTGCTTTTTCGTTCTCCTTCTCCATTTCCTCTTATTGCCACCAATTCCTCTTCCCTCAACTTTCTTAATCCACTTGGTGTTTCTGATGGCAAGTACAACTGTTCCATGCATATACATACATTAATTAATCCAATATCAAACTTTAAAACACTGAAACAAAGTGCAGAGAAGCGTGTTTAGTCTGACCTTGTTAGCAAAGAAGATTCTCTTATGAGAAGTATGAGTGGTTGGCTGAATCCATGAATCACAGGCAAAGTGCAGAGAGCCACTAGGAAGGCCATCAAGAACTATGTTCTTTAGGAAGATCTCATTGTGGTCCTCATTGTGTACCAAAACAGCGCCCACATTCCCAAAAGTTTCTGGTAACTCAAATCTCACCTCATATTGCACCTCATCCTCTGTTGACCCAATCTTGTGCACATTACTCTCTCCTGTCTTTCTCTCTGTCTTTGTTTCTTCATTTAGGGTTAGACGATGTTAAAGTTTAGTAACCACATTAACATATATATCACAGATCATTGAAAATTATATAAGAGTAAAGTATGTCTTGCATTCCTTATCTTATGTCTAAAATATTAAAAATATTTTTTTTTTCATTTTACGGGAACCAAAAACAAAACCAAAATTACAGAGACCAAAAATATATTTGATTTTAATATATTATTTTCATGTAATTATTTTTTTAAAACTCTAATTCAACCATATATTGCTTAAAACATTTCACTCTTTATTTAAAAGCCACACTTTTTTCAAGTGGCAATTTATATCAAATCGTACGACTATTAATTTTGGAGTCAGCGTGTTGAAATCCATTCATTTTTGTGTTTAGAACTTTATTTATGTACGAAATGAATACATTCAACCAACAATATCTTCAAACTTTTGCTGGTAAATAATTATTGCATTTTGTCTTCACATCATTTTGTTAAAATATAAGCATAACTATTTTCTTTTTTTTAAATAAAAAGATAAAATCACTTCTAGTGTTGCCGAGATAGTAAGAAGTCAATTATTATAAGTTATGCGCATTTGTTAATTTAAATTTGAATATGTATAATATAATACTCGTTCGTGATAAGAAAGAAGAAAAATATTATTTTTAATTTAGTTTAAACTGTTATAATAAGTTAGAATGTATCTCGTCCATAAGATGAATAATTTGCACAGCATAAAACCCAATTATTATATTATATATTTATTTTATATATAATTCCATTTTAACGATTATATGGAAAATTTGACTTTTCTTTCCTCCTGGATAGGGTGATATCCAGTAAGGAAACAAGAACCCCACGTTATCTATCATGTGGACAAGTGGCACATTACAAGTGGCAAAAATACAATTGTGAGAGTGACTATATTCACGAATATATAAATACTAATCAAAAAATTTCTTCAAATTTATTCTCAACAGTTTACTTTTATTTTATTAAGTGGAATTTACGAGTGATCCCAAAAATATATTGGCCTTATTCTCACGTGTTGGATGACATCTTACCTAGTACGATTCACTATAGTTTGATTTTGTTTTATATATACAATAATTCATTGTAGGTCTTATGACAATACATAAATAGATATAAAAAAAATATTCATGTGTATTATTTGGATAAAATTTCTTTCGAAAAACAATAGTTTCTCAAAAACATTATTTACAGCTTATGAATATCCCTTAAATACTCATAAACAAGTTTATTAAACATGCTTATTACATAAAGAATTGTATGTTTGAAACCTATTTGTATTGCAGCTAATGAAGAATAAAACATGGTAGAAACAGATATTAGAAAGTGGGTTTAAGCCTAACTCAACCCCACAAAACCGGCTTGTAAGGTGAGGTTTGCACCTCACTTATATATTATAAATTGGCCTTATCTCTAGTCGATGTGGGACTTCCAACAACAGAAGTGCAATTAGATAATGTGCATGAACAGTTTTCTTTTACTATATATAATACAATATTATGAAAGAAAAGAAAGAAAACATGAAAATGTTAAAAATGTGTATAAAAATGAAGACTTTTGTATAAGTTGAAGAAAAACATGGATGCAAATGGAGAAACAGAACATACTTGGATCAAGCTCATCGCTGACAAGCTCCAAAACGAGAGTTTTCCCAACCAAGTCCTTGATGCCATCAAGACCGCCATTAACGAGATTCCCAAGCAATCCACCACTTCTTTGCTTCACAGTGACAAGGGCCTTCACAGTTTGAGAAGTTGTCATGGTTTTCGTGTTTTTGGAACTGCTTGCCATTACAACTTTCATGCACCTATGAACCTTTCTCTCTGTAGGAAAAGAGAGTTTACGCTGCTTCAAGAACCACCAATTTATATGGCTATTGTGAGTATCTTCCCCACCTATACATAGCGGGAAAGATGAACTATTCAGGACACTTATTAGATGCACATGTGAGTTTCTCAATGTCAACATGGTTAATCTTATTTTGCAACCTAAAATGATCTCTCCCAACTTACAATTACAACAAGTTTTTGGTTTATGACTACTGTCTACGGTTAGAGTTGGGTTCCTTTATATTGGAGCAAAGATGATCCACGTGGCTTAATTACAGACAAATTGTGAAAGTTGTTTGATTTTTCAAATAACGAAATCCTTGTAAGTTTTTATAAAGATAGATTTTAATATCATCTTAATATTTAAACTTTAATTTAATTTTGTTTTACAAAAATGGTTTACTAAAGATAAAAATTCTTAAAAAATGCTATTATAAATTGATGTTATCTTCGGATATTGATATTGATAACCAAATTCCTTGAATCTATTGTTTTTTTTTTTTAAATTTGAAAGATTAATGAAATCTAACGTGATTTTATTTAGATAAATTTGAACACTGATTTTTTCTTTTAAATTTATTATGAGAGACATTGATCTTGATTGGTAAAGGATTTCACGTCTCGGAGTATTTGTTTGAAATATTCCCAACTAGGGGCGGCTTGAAGAAATATTTTTGCGGTTTTTGAACGAAGCCTTTTTAATAAATATTTTAACATAAGTCAATTTATATAACTTCTTTATATTTTTATTTTTTACTCGTAATTAGTTTATAGAATATTTATTATTTTATTTTATTTTGCATAAGATTTCTTGCGTTAATTTCTTTTTTCAATAGCAATTTTATGTAGAAAAAAGGATTGTCGGTAAAAAATAAACTTCTTTTTCATGTTCTAGTTTAATTGGTAGTTTACTTGCAAACAGTTGCAGTAGGACCTACTCGTGTTGTACTATATATGAGAAAGTCAAGCGGTGACAATTTAATATTCTGCTACGTATTATTTTGACATATTCAAATTCTGCATCTATATGGACACATTGCTTTTTCAAAAGATATTACTTACACCTCACGTTCTCATGACGTCCACTGATTTAATTCTCTACTTTATATTAAAAAAACAACCAATTCACACATTTATTAGAAACTCACGTTTAAAACAATGCACAAGTAAAGACACTTTTGATAACACACGTCAGTTTCGAGGGATTTAATTATCTCTAGATGTAAATTTTATAATTATATCAACATTTATCCTAAATATATTAATGAGTTACATTTATATTATTTATCATCAAACTTTTTCGAGACTACATTGAAAAGAAGTTAAGTCTTATTGTTACAAGAAATACTGAAAAAAGAATCACACTTGTATATGATAAAGTATTATGGTATAAATGATCAAGTATTCTTCGATATATATAATTACGTATTCTTCGTTGATATTAGTATAGGAGCTCTTCCTGATTAAATGTGTTAAACTATTAAGTCGCCTATTTATAATAATTAGTTATAATAATTAAAAAATTAATAGATATTTGAATTAATAGATTTAGACTTATTTAAATAAAGATTCATTAATAATAACATAAATAATATATTTTATGAAATATGAATGTTTATTAATTATTATATTTATTGTTTGTTGATGTTGACTTTAAACGTTTTTAACATAATCCTTACTAAATTTAAGAAGGATGAATACATAAAATAAAGAATACTTTAGATATTAAAAATTACAAGTAAAATCTTTATAAGATAAATATTTGTTATAAACAATAATTATTTAAACATGATATCAGTATAATCAGGTCTTACATAATATCCTTATCTTCTATAAAAATTTAAAAACAAGAAAGGAAAGGCAAAAGTTCCAAACTTACTTTTGAAGTTAAACTAAAGAGAGTAATACTCTTTTTTTCAAGCTGCATTTAGAGTTGTTGAACTACCGGAATACGTAGACAAGGTGTTATTCCACACTCACCAATAAAAACTGGGACCCCACACACATTAATTAGGTTTGTACTGATAAAAGTACGTTAATTACTGTTATACCACAAAGAGACAGAACTTCCCAAGTAAAGATGAAATTTTCGTCGGATCCCAATCCTCTGCAACAATATAATTAACTTTTCATTAAGAGAAAATTATTATTGAATCACCAAACATTTCGGGACGAAAGCTTAATAAAAATTTTAATGTTCAAGGGAGGAAACTATGACACATAGTTTTGAACAGTGATTTAAATGTATATATAGTTGCCTTGTATAATGAAAAATAATACTTTGATTTGATGTTATTCTTATTATAAAATAACATGACAAATAGTTAGTTATATGTATGCAAATCCTGGACAGGATCTATGCAAGGGATCTGGTTGGGGAGCGATCGTGTATGGGGCCGAAAGGAAGTGCTGTATGGAATTAATTCAGTTGGAACCTTTTACCATACAGTTATTGAGTCAGTACATCTAGTTGTCTCATCTACTTGTTATTATAGACATTAAAATGTAATTATTTGAGTTCTATTTTGTACTTTTAGTTATTAATAGTTATTTGTAGGAAATACAGTCTCGTACCAATAAAACTAATTATAATATTTTAGTTGTTAGTTTTTAGCTAAAAGTTTTTAGTTTTTCAAAAGTTGATATTTTATTTTTGGTACATCTAATTAATTTTTTATTAGTTTTTTTATTAATTAGGTGTATCATATTGTTCAACATCAATTTGGATACAAAAATGTCAAATGTAAAATAGAATTTTTATAACGATATTTTATACTTAAAATCCAATTAAGTATAAAAAGATATGTGATGACAAAACTGTAATGAACTATAAAGATTTTTATATTGGTTGCATCCAAAACCGGTATAGAAAGTGACATACTGTAATAAATTACAAAGATTTTTTATACTGGTTCCACTATAGAAAGTCACTTTTCTATACCATTTACTTATAGAAAATGAAACCATGGCAAAAATGTAATATTGGAGGACACTTTTTGTACCGGTCAGTGATAAATAGAAAGGGTAAATTCAACCCTAAATCGTCTCCCAACAAATACAAAATTGATTATTAACAAATTAATTCTTATAAAAAATATACAAAACATTTAGTAAAATAATGAAAAAGATAAAGATAAATAAAAGATTAAAGAACAAAGTAACAAAAGATGGAAATAAAGAAATGTATAAAGAGATTTAAAAAGATAAAAACAATGATAAAGAAAATAGGTTGATTACACTACTTTTTCAAAACAGGATTCATCATTGGTTATCTAAAGATTATTATTTAATTAATTATTGTCTCAGATTTTCAAATTAATCAATGTAAATTCTTAATTAATTTGTTGGCGTTCTAACTGTTGACCAAAATACATTTTCAATTAAAAGCAAGAACTTTGTAAATTAATTATAGTAAATTTAACCAAAGTANGGGAATTGCTAAGCTGGCGGTTCATCTTGATGTTCCGTGGGTACTCGTCTTCATGTAGAAGAGGGTAGGCCATGTGTGGGAACGGCAGGAAGTCCTAGTCCTTAGGAGTACTTTGGACAGATAGGACTAACCTCGGGTGGCAGTTGTTGAGGGCATCCCAGTTACTACATCACCCGGGTGCACAAACGCCTGTAGCTACACAGATTTCATATAGTCCGGACGAGTTAGTCTAGTATTATGATTTATATGAAACATAGGATGAAATATATCGTACGTGTTTGATTGAGTAAAATGTATGTGTATATATGAATTAAATTATATAAGTTTACCCTGTGTTTTCCTGTGTCGTCTGGTTTTGTATGTCCGACCTTGTCATTGCAATGATCATCTGTGTGGATGTGAGTAGAAGGAGACGAGCTGCTGGAAGTGGCGCTAGAAGAATAAAATTTGGAAGAAGTTGAGGTAAAGATCGAACAGTAGGACGTTCTGTCCTTTGTCTAGTTATAGTAAGGTGGTCGTTCGATCACCTTCCCTTTGTTTAAGTATGATCGTTCGGTATTTTCTTTTGTAAACCGTTCGGTCAAGTTTGCTTATCTTGTACGACTTAAATTTGTAACTCCTTCTGTAAGGCCGTTTGGCCATGAGCGTACGCTCGACTCTAGTGTAAGAGTGATCTGGATTATTATTAATGTGATTATTCTATTATATAGTTTATTGCTATATTTTTGAGATGTTACAGCAGATAATATAATGGCTATTAACAAAGTTAAATGATAAAAACTTAATTTCAATTCAAAACTGAAAAATATTTCACTGCGTATGAAACTAAACAAATTTAATAAACTCATTAAAAAACACTCAAATTTATATTTAAAAATTAATTAACAACAACAAATAATATGGTAGAATTATTTATTTTGAGTCTTGAGTGTTGTATGTAAGATGGAGGATTTCTTTAATTTATTCATCAGTAAATCTTATTTATGAGTTATTTTAATTTTTGTTATCTATGTATGATGATTTAGGTTACTACAACAATTCTATATGATACTTGCTTATAAAAACAAAAAGAATAAAAAAGTGAGATAGAAAAAATAGTTAAACAACCTGCTTTTGATGGATTTCGACCTGTGCGACAGCGTCTTGGGTATGGGTATTGCTTGGAGCCACCAAGAACAGGCCTTTTGAGGTCAATGTTATTGTCAGGGTCTCCAAGATCATTGTAAACATCATAGTCGTAAATTCTATCACTGCTTTTTCGTTCTCCTTCTCCATTTCCTCTTATTGCCACCAATTCCTCTTCCCTCAACTTTCTTAATCCACTTGGTGTTTCTGATGGCAAGTACAACTGTTCCATGCATATACATACATTATTTAATCCAATATCAAACTTTAAAACACTGAAACAAAGTGCAGAGAAGCGTGTTTAGTCTGACCTTGTTAGCAAAGAAGATTCTCTTATGAGAAGTATGAGTGGTTGGCTGAATCCATGAATCACAGGCAAAGTGCAGAGAGCCACTAGGAAGGCCATCAAGAACTATGTTCTTTAGGAAGATCTCATTGTGGTCCTCATTGTGTACCAAAACAGCGCCCACATTCCCAAAAGTTTCTGGTAACTCAAATCTCACCTCATATTGCACCTCATCCTCTGTTGACCCAATCTTGTGCACATTACTCTCTCCTGTCTTTCTCTCTGTCTTTGTTTCTTCATTTAGGGTTAGACGATGTTAAAGTTTAGTAACCACATTAACATATATATCACAGATCATTGAAAATTATATAAGAGTAAAGTATGTCTTGCATTCCTTATCTTATGTCTAAAATATTAAAAATATTTTTTTTTTCATTTTACGGGAACCAAAAACAAAACCAAAATTACAGAGACCAAAAATATATTTGATTTTAATATATTATTTTCATGTAATTATTTTTTTAAAACTCTAATTCAACCATATATTGCTTAAAACATTTCACTCTTTATTTAAAAGCCACACTTTTTTCAAGTGGCAATTTATATCAAATCGTACGACTATTAATTTTGGAGTCAGCGTGTTGAAATCCATTCATTTTTGTGTTTAGAACTTTATTTATGTACGAAATGAATACATTCAACCAACAATATCTTCAAACTTTTGCTGGTAAATAATTATTGCATTTTGTCTTCACATCATTTTGTTAAAATATAAGCATAACTATTTTCTTTTTTTTAAATAAAAAGATGAAATCACTTCTAGTGTTGCCGAGATAGTAAGAAGTCAATTATTATAAGTTATGCGCATTTGTTAATTTAAATTTGAATATGTATAATATAATACTCGTTCGTGATAAGAAAGAAGAAAAATATTATTTTTAATTTAGTTTAAACTGTTATAATAAGTTAGAATGTATCTCGTCCATAAGATGAATAATTTGCACAGCATAAAACCCAATTATTATATTATATATTTATTTTATATATAATTCCATTTTAACGATTATATGGAAAATTTGACTTTTCTTTCCTCCTGGATAGGGTGATATCCAGTAAGGAAACAAGAACCCCACGTTATCTATCATGTGGACAAGTGGCACATTACAAGTGGCAAAAATACAATTGTGAGAGTGACTATATTCACGAATATATAAATACTAATCAAAAAATTTCTTCAAATTTATTCTCAACAGTTTACTTTTATTTTATTAAGTGGAATTTACGAGTGATCCCAAAAATATATTGGCCTTATTCTCACGTGTTGGATGACATCTTACCTAGTACGATTCACTATAGTTTGATTTTGTTTTATATATACAATAATTCATTGTAGGTCTTATGACAATACATAAATAGATATAAAAAAAATATTCATGTGTATTATTTGGATAAAATTTCTTTCGAAAAACAATAGTTTCTCAAAAACATTATTTACAGCTTATGAATATCCCTTAAATACTCATAAACAAGTTTATTAAACATGCTTATTACATAAAGAATTGTATGTTTGAAACCTATTTGTATTGCAGCTAATGAAGAATAAAACATGGTAGAAACAGATATTAGAAAGTGGGTTTAAGCCTAACTCAACCCCACAAAACCGGCTTGTAAGGTGAGGTTTGCACCTCACTTATATATTATAAATTGGCCTTATCTCTAGTCGATGTGGGACTTCCAACAACAGAAGTGCAATTAGATAATGTGCATGAACAGTTTTCTTTTACTATATATAATACAATATTATGAAAGAAAAGAAAGAAAACATGAAAATGTTAAAAATGTGTATAAAAATGAAGACTTTTGTATAAGTTGAAGAAAAACATGGATGCAAATGGAGAAACAGAACATACTTGGATCAAGCTCATCGCTGACAAGCTCCAAAACGAGAGTTTTCCCAACCAAGTCCTTGATGCCATCAAGACCGCCATTAACGAGATTCCCAAGCAATCCACCACTTCTTTGCTTCACAGTGACAAGGGCCTTCACAGTTTGAGAAGTTGTCATGGTTTTCGTGTTTTTGGAACTGCTTGCCATTACAACTTTCATGCACCTATGAACCTTTCTCTCTGTAGGAAAAGAGAGTTTACGCTGCTTCAAGAACCACCAATTTATATGGCTATTGTGAGTATCTTCCCCACCTATACATAGCGGGAAAGATGAACTATTCAGGACACTTATTAGATGCACATGTGAGTTTCTCAATGTCAACATGGTTAATCTTATTTTGCAACCTAAAATGATCTCTCCCAACTTACAATTACAACAAGTTTTTGGTTTATGACTACTGTCTACGGTTAGAGTTGGGTTCCTTTATATTGGAGCAAAGATGATCCACGTGGCTTAATTACAGACAAATTGTGAAAGTTGTTTGATTTTTCAAATAACGAAATCCTTGTAAGTTTTTATAAAGATAGATTTTAATATCATCTTAATATTTAAACTTTAATTTAATTTTGTTTTACAAAAATGGTTTACTAAAGATAAAAATTCTTAAAAAATGCTATTATAAATTGATGTTATCTTCGGATATTGATATTGATAACCAAATTCCTTGAATCTATTGTTTTTTTTTTTTAAATTTGAAAGATTAATGAAATCTAACGTGATTTTATTTAGATAAATTTGAACACTGATTTTTTCTTTTAAATTTATTATGAGAGACATTGATCTTGATTGGTAAAGGATTTCACGTCTCGGAGTATTTGTTTGAAATATTCCCAACTAGGGGCGGCTTGAAGAAATATTTTTGCGGTTTTTGAACGAAGCCTTTTTAATAAATATTTTAACATAAGTCAATTTATATAACTTCTTTATATTTTTATTTTTTACTCGTAATTAGTTTATAGAATATTTATTATTTTATTTTATTTTGCATAAGATTTCTTGCGTTAATTTCTTTTTTCAATAGCAATTTTATGTAGAAAAAAGGATTGTCGGTAAAAAATAAACTTCTTTTTCATGTTCTAGTTTAATTGGTAGTTTACTTGCAAACAGTTGCAGTAGGACCTACTCGTGTTGTACTATATATGAGAAAGTCAAGCGGTGACAATTTAATATTCTGCTACGTATTATTTTGACATATTCAAATTCTGCATCTATATGGAAACATTGCTTTTTCAAAAGATATTACTTACACCTCACGTTCTCATGACGTCCACTGATTTAATTCTCTACTTTATATTAAAAAAACAACCAATTCACACATTTATTAGAAACTCACGTTTAAAACAATGCACAAGTAAAGACACTTTTGATAACACACGTCAGTTTCGAGGGATTTAATTATCTCTAGATGTAAATTTTATAATTATATCAACATTTATCCTAAATATATTAATGAGTTACATTTATATTATTTATCATCAAACTTTTTCGAGACTACATTGAAAAGAAGTTAAGTCTTATTGTTACAAGAAATACTGAAAAAAGAATCACACTTGTATATGATAAAGTATTATGGTATAAATGATCAAGTATTCTTCGATATATATAATTACGTATTCTTCGTTGATATTAGTATAGGAGCTCTTCCTGATTAAATGTGTTAAACTATTAAGTCGCCTATTTATAATAATTAGTTATAATAATTAAAAAATTAAGAGATATTTGAATTAATAGATTTAGACTTATTTAAATAAAGATTCATTAATAATAACATAAATAATATATTTTATGAAATATGAATGTTTATTAATTATTATATTTATTGTTTGTTGATGTTGACTTTAAACGTTTTTAACATAATCCTTACTAAATTTAAGAAGGATGAATACATAAAATAAAGAATACTTTAGATATTAAAAATTACAAGTAAAATCTTTATAAGATAAATATTTGTTATAAACAATAATTATTTAAACATGATATCAGTATAATCAGGTCTTACATAATATCCTTATCTTCTATAAAAATTTAAAAACAAGAAAGGAAAGGCAAAAGTTCCAAACTTACTTTTGAAGTTAAACTAAAGAGAGTAATACTCTTTTTTTCAAGCTGCATTTAGAGTTGTTGAACTACCGGAATACGTAGACAAGGTGTTATTCCACACTCACCAATAAAAACTGGGACCCCACACACATTAATTAGGTTTGTACTGATAAAAGTACGTTAATTACTGTTATACCACAAAGAGACAGAACTTCCCAAGTAAAGATGAAATTTTCGTCGGATCCCAATCCTCTGCAACAATATAATTAACTTTTCATTAAGAGAAAATTATTATTGAATCACCAAACATTTCGGGACGAAAGCTTAATAAAAAATTTAATGTTCAAGGGAGGAAACTATGACACATAGTTTTGAACAGTGATTTAAATGTATATATAGTTGCCTTGTATAATGAAAAATAATACTTTGATTTGATGTTATTCTTATTATAAAATAACATGACAAATAGTTAGTTATATGTATGCAAATCCTGGACAGGATCTATGCAAGGGATCTGGTTGGGGAGCGATCGTGTATGGGGCCGAAAGGAAGTGCTGTATGGAATTAATTCAGTTGGAACCTTTTACCATACAGTTATTGAGTCAGTACATCTAGTTGTCTCATCTACTTGTTATTATAGACATTAAAATGTAATTATTTGAGTTCTATTTTGTACTTTTAGTTATTAATAGTTATTTGTAGGAAATACAGTCTCGTACCAATAAAACTAATTATAATATTTTAGTTGTTAGTTTTTAGCTAAAAGTTTTTAGTTTTTCAAAAGTTGATATTTTATTTTTGGTACATCTAATTAATTTTTTATTAGTTTTTTTATTAATTAGGTGTATCATATTGTTCAACATCAATTTGGATACAAAAATGTCAAATGTAAAATAGAATTTTTATAACGATATTTTATACTTAAAATCCAATTAAGTATAAAAAGATATGTGATGACAAAACTGTAATGAACTATAAAGATTTTTATATTGGTTGCATCCAAAACCGGTATAAAAAGTGACATACTGTAATAAATTACAAAGATTTTTTATACTGGTTCCACTATAGAAAGTCACTTTTCTATACCATTTACTTATAGAAAATGAAACCATGGCAAAAATATAATATTGGAGGACACTTTTTGTACCGGTCAGTGATAAATAGAAAGGGTAAATTCAACCCTAAATCGTCTCCAAACAAATACAAAATTGATTATTAACAAATTAATTCTTATAAAAAATATACAAAACATTTAGTAAAATAATGAAAAAGATAAAGATAAATAAAAGATTAAAGAACAAAGTAACAAAAGATGGAAATAAAGAAATGTATAAAGAGATTTAAAAAGATAAAAACAATGATAAAGAAAATAGGTTGATTACACTACTTTTTCAAAACAGGATTCATCATTGGTTATCTAAAGATTATTATTTAATTAATTATTGTCTCAGATTTTCAAATTAATCAATGTAAATTCTTAATTAATTTGTTGGCGTTCTAACTGTTGACCAAAATACATTTTCAATTAAAAGCAAGAACTTTGTAAATTAATTATAGTAAATTTAACCAAAGTACATTCTTAATTAAATATTACTATGCCTAATCATGTCTATTTTTTTACCTCTTGATTAATTCTTGTTAAAGTTTTCACCTTTAGTCAAAGTACATTCTCAATTATTGACAAAAACTCATTCAATGACATGAAAGTTTCTAACTTTATTCAAACTAAATTCTTAATTAAAAATAAAAACCCTTGGTCTCATATGGTTGATATGTTATGTAGATTTAACATCATGTTAAATTGCTATAATATAAAAATCATTACTTTTACTAGATTAAGAAGCAAAAGAGATAGATAAAAATAAATCACAACAAGAATCAAAAGAACAAACAAATTTATTCATCTAACCTTAGAATCCAGTTAAAAAATTATAGCAGAATGAACCCTAGAAGTTTAAAACTCCATGGAATGTAAAAATAACATGAAAATAGAAGAGAGGGTGGAGACCATGAGAGAAGAGAGAGAGAGGATGAAATTTGAACCCCTAAAGGGTTCCTAAGCTCCCCTAATGTGTTTCCCCAAGTCTCTATATAAAAATTGGATTGAGTTTTATTTTAAGTTTTTTTTGTTCTTGTAATCTTCTTTATGATAATGTAATATCCTCCCATTATCTTCTAAATAATCCAATATATTCAAGATATATTTGATTGCTGTGGAGATCTAAAAGTATTTGAGAAGATATTTGCTAGATTAAAAAAAATTTGACAAATATTATCTTTTTTTATTCATTGATATATTTAAATTGGTAATTATTTAACAATATCAAATAAAATATCTTAAGATATATATTCCACAAATTATCTTTAATCATGAAAATTTGTCAATAGTCAATGCCCTTTTAGTAGAAAAAAATAGAGAAAAGTGCAAGATCTAATTTTTGTTGTCGGTTCCATCTTCTTGGCTTAGCCATATTTCTTCATTTTTCATGCTATGCTTAGATTGACTAGTTGCGGTCTTGATTATTTGCTGTTAGAAATAAAAGCCTTTATATCTCAATTCAAGAGAGGGTGGGGGGTGAATTTGATTTAAACCTTTTTCGAAAATCTTTTTCAAATCTTTAAAAAGTTCTTGAATCTTGAAATCAATAACCAAAGATTAAATTAATTAACTAAGTAAAGAAAGATGAAAGAAAGATTAAAGAACACAAAGATTTATACTGGTTTAGCTTTTAAACAAGCTTACACCTAGTCTTCTCCCAACAACCTGAGTTGAGAGGCAATCCACTATATGAAATTTGAGTCGAGAATACAATGAAACCCTTAATTGTTATCCTCACCACCCTTAAATCAGATTACAACACAAATAGGAGAGGAAACACTCACTCTCATCCAATACAAGAGATGAAAACTCTCAATCTCTAACCTGACCTAACCCGCACATGTGCTACACATCGTAGAATCAAAGATAAAGTGATTGGAAAACACTCATGTAGTGCAGATATATCAGTACATGTGAAGTTCACTTGATCATAAATGAATTCTTGATTGCTTGAACACCAATTAAGCTTGAAATCCTCCAAGAACAGTTCTTGAGAAACCCTGTACTCAAAAGTCAGAAAGAAAGTCAGTATATGCCAATTAAAATAGTTAATGAAACAAGTCTCAAGTCTAATTTATATAGAAAAACCAAATCCTGACGCAGATTAATCGATTGAAAAGCTTTTAAAATCTTTTTCACAAAATGTGATGCCTTTACACTTTTCTTGAATCGCAAGGTAAATGAATAACAATGCTGTAGAAACTTAATCGAATATGCAAAGAACTTAATCGAATGAATAAAA